ATTTGCATGCTTTCAAACTATTAGGTTGGCAGAAACTGGAGTGAGTAAGGGAAGCTCACCCCGTCGTGTGGAGCTTGGGTGTTGAACCTATCAGCTTTTCAGCTGATAAGCCCAGCATCTTAACCGCTGAGCCATCGTGCCACTCTTAAATACATATTATTGGATCAGGCAGTTGCATACATCAGAGCTGGTCAGATTTTAAACTTTACTTTTCACTAGAATGCTAAGTAACTAATAACATGAGAGGAAGACATAAAATAATGGTTTAGTAAGGTGAATATGGAACAAGGAAAAATGTATCTCTGAGTACATGTCCAGTATAGGAATTGGTTTTGAGTACAAATTGCTTCTCACAACTTCTGTTATTCGGTGCTCTTATTTTTTCATCATTTAATTTCAGATTTTTGTTTTGTATGGTTATTAAAAATGAAAAATCCCTCATTTACTTAAGTTTATATCAGAATGTCTTGGTATATCTATACCTATCTTATGTCAGGCCTGATCCAGGTGATTATGAATGTTACCTTGAATTACAACTAGCAATTGTTTTATAAGACTCTTTCTTTATAAATACTCTTAATTGTTACAAGCCACAAATTATTTCCCAGTAGGGTTAGTTATTTTTGCTGCCTTAGAGATGTTCTAAAGAGTTTTCTATTAAGATAAGTATTACAATGAATAGAAAAACCAGCTAATTTCTTTTGTTGCCTTTATTTTTCACTGGATGGTAATCATCTTAAATAAAATGATTGTCTGTAGAGTACAAGGAACTACTAGAATAATGGAAGTGTTAACTGCAAAGAATATTTCACAAGCCAAAAATAAAAGGATTTCTCTCCAATACTGCAGGTTATGTTCCAATCTAGGGGAAATGTCATAGTGTATCAAATTAGGCCATCAAACTCTTCCAGGTTCACATGGCATGGACTTTGAAAATATGTTTAAAATTGAACAGAAACTGACACTAAGGCTAAGAAGACCGTGCCATCAGGATAGTATAGTATGTTATACTGTAGCTCAGCAAAAACAATGATTCATTGTATAACTGTTGAGAAAAGCAGTAATTCAGTACAACTACCAGTAACATAATGATTTATATAAATGTATGGTGCAACTAACTACAGTTAGAACATTTAATATAGCTCTGTTCATCATGTGTTAAATACAGTATGTTAAGACAGAGAACAGTTACTGAAGGAACAACCAAAGTAGTTAATAGGTTGGAGAAGAAAAGCCACAAAGTTTGGAAATAAAGTAAATAATGTTTTTTATTCCAGTATGTTTATTTACTACCTCAGCCACTAGCATCAGCTTCCCTTTCAAACCTGTTGCTAAGGAAGAAAAACAGTAAATGTACTCTTGTTCTTTTTTGTGTTTTCCATATATACTGGTTGAGCCACTGTAGGAGACACTGCTAGATTAAATAGGCATATCTCTTTTTATACTCAAACACAATTCACATTCAAGTGATTGAGAAAGAATCTTGTTAAGAATTTTTCTCTTCTTATACAGCCCAGCTATTACTAACCTGAAAAAGTATTCCGAAGAGACACTGAAGCTAGATTCTTACAAAAGAAATAACATTTTGTTATTAAAATAATTGTTACACATACCACATTCCCTTTCTTCCAGTGAATAAACCCAAAGGGATACAAATACAGTTTAATGTGATATCAGTGAGATGAAAAATTTTGCTTTGTAGTTTATAGTATGCCTATAAAATGCAATAAAATGTCTACAGTCTAACTACAGAAATAAAAATTAACTAATCCCTAACTACACATAAAGCAATCAGTAACTGATGCCATCAACTCATGTCCAAAACTCTTTGAATAATTATTTGTTGTAATTTACTGAAAGTCAATAGTATAGGGTCTGACAGAATTTCTGAAAGAAATGGTTCCAAAGGGCAGATAAAGATACACACAAACACACACCGGGGGAAAAAAAAAACACTGCCTGCAGGCCTCCACCATTCTTACCCCATTGAATTGGGGAACCACAAACGGGTTGTTCCAGGACATACAAGTTGGGTTGGATAAAACTGGTTGGAGAAGGCAGTCCTACAAGTACTCCAGTTTCAAGCCATATAGCTGTTAAAATCCAAACAATAGTTTGACTTGCTCTCAGAAGCCAACAGGAAGCCAGCACAAGGCCAGAGCATAGGTATTTGTACTAGCATGTATCTGTTAACAACTATGTAATTGCATCTGAGACCAATTCAAATTTCTAGACGGTCTTCAAAGCAGCCTCATATAAAACAACTTGAAATGAAACAAATACATGGTGATGGTGTCATGAATAACTGTTACAAGGTCCTCATAGTTCAGATACGGCCACAACTCCTATACCAACCAAAACCGGGATATGGCATTTTTTAAATTAAAAATACATTTGCTTTTGTTATTGCAGTATGACAGGATTTTAGAACCCCAAGACAGAAAAGTTCTAAGTCTGCCTGCAGCCAGCTGTAATATAACAATAGCTGCATAATAGATGTACTTAGTTGCTACAGTAAATATGAGGTTGAAGATAATTTTTTCCCCTTTGCAACTTTTATTTGACAATAATAGGGAACAGGAGCCATTGTCAATTTTTCTTACAAGGATCTGACAGCCCTGGGGCAAGTACACCAGTCAGCACTTTTGGGCAGCATCATCTCGGCAATGATCTTTTCTGGACTAGCAAGTTTCTGTTGCAACTTAACCAATAACATTCCTTCACCAGAGAACTTTTGAAATAGATACTAACAGTTACACATTTATTTATTATTATTATTAATTAAATGTGTTTGCCTCCCATCTTGCCATGAAGCAACTTTGGAGGTTTATCTTGGAACCTTAATTTTAGGCTGAGTATCAGCAATTCAAGTCACTATTTTGTAGCCCTACAGCTTATCAATTGTATTTTTCCTGTATGGCAGTTTGACTTTCCATTTAGTCACTTTAATTCAGTCTTTCACTCTTTATTGCTAGCAATAAAGATAACAGATCCTATTTCTGAAACTTCTATATCAAGGAGAACAAACAGATATTACGTTTTCTGCAACCTTTGTCAATTCCTTGATGATTATATTACTAAAACTAAAGGCGAAGAGAAGTAGTAGGTGACAAACTTTAAATTATACAGATTCTATAAGATTTAAAATGTACTGGAACTTCAACATCTTTTTTGGTAAGAGGGAGGGGTTTAAGAAAGGATGGGGAAGGAGGTTATAGGATATTTCCCTTCTGCCACTGAATTGTAGAAAGGACACTGAAATATCCTATTGGATTGTTACCCTCACCTGTCCAGATATTTTATAGCTTTTCCCAACTTTGTGCCTATGAAATGAATTTGAAGTACACCTCCTAAAGGTGCTTTTTCCAAAAGGGAAAACTTTCTTGCTTTTTTTTCTTTGAAAATGTTTTGCTTTTCATTCATGAAATTCCTTCAGTTCTAACACTGGAAAAAGCATCTTTGGGACAACCATGACCTGGATGACTGAGAATCTCCATAGACAGTTACAACTCCTAGAACTTATTATGGCGGTTGCTCACATAGCTGGGATGTTCAATGATGTATAGAAATCTAATTCTAAAACATTAAAAGGGTAATAACTTGGGAAGGCCAGTCTAGCTGTTTGTAAACTTTGTCCTCCAGATGAATACTTTGCGGAATTTCTTGAAAAAAAAATGTAATGCCACATCAGTTTAACCATCAGTCATGCACTAGGTCTTCAGTGTTATTTATATTCTGTCTTTCATTTTGGAGTTCAAGAAAACATTGAAATAGGATTAAAGTACAGTACCTGGTCCAAGGTCACTTAACGAACTTCATAATAAATTGGGCTTAAACTTCAATTCCTCAGAAACTAGCCAGATATTTGACATTCAACATAAGGTAACACATCACATGTGGACACTTTATGATAAATACTGCAATTGGAGGGCAAAGCATCTCCAAATGTAACCAAAATAGAGGTTTCTCACAACTACAAAGCCAGGACATGTCAACCTGCATTTCCTGGAAAACTCTTTTCTGGACGGCTGTTAAAAGCAGGCCTTCTTCAAGTGGACGTCTGCAGGACCTTAACTTTTTCTTTTCATATTCACCTTCTCACACATTTACATGGATCACCTACAGCGACTAAATTGCCGGCCTTTTCCCTTTCTCTTTTCTTCCAATACCTGCAGGGTGGTTATAGAAAGGACGCAGCCGGGGTGGCAACTTAAGCTCGATCTTGTCTAAGAAACGGTGATAAGAAGCACGAAACCCAGCCACGGCAGCCGCCATCCTGTGTGCGCGGTGACAGCGTCAACGGGAGCCCCGAATTCAGTTGACGGCGCCTCTCGACCTGCCGTCCTTCTCCTCCTCCTCCCACGACCCGAGCAGAAGCAGAACCCGCCCCACGGACAGAAGCCGGTGGTAGGACGAGCCCGGTTTGCTTCGCTCTGATTTGCTGCTGGAAGGAGAAAGGGGCGTGGCTTAACAGCTGTCCTTCATGCTATTGGCCACCCATTCCTATTGCCACCACCGGCTTTCTCTCTAGCATCGGTGACAGTAGCAGTGTCTTGTCTGCTTTTTATGACGTTCGTAAAGCGAGCGCGAAGCAATGACGAGGAAGCAACAATTATTTTCTGTTATGGAACATTGGCTCCGGAAGTAATGTCGACTTAGGGTGCTTCTTTAGCCTTATTCAGGAACGACGAACTTGTTTTCAAACGGTAGCCGCGGCCGAACGTGCCTTTGCCACCGCCCTTTAACTCGTCCTGACTTGTTCACACCTCTGAGTGTTCGGTGGGTTGACAACGTGAGGGAAGGAGGAGACTTTTAAAGCGTCTGGCGGTTGGCTTGGTCTCTGTCCAGAAAGCCAGCGCAAGATACGTTAGGGGCAAAGAGTTATTCCTCTCCCCCCCCCACAACGCTTTAACTCTCGCGATGTCTCCAGTGAGCCGTTCCCTGTCTGTGGGCGGGGAGGGGGAGGAGCTAGTGTTGCTGTGGCAGCTCTCCGAGGAGGCGATGGGGAGGAGTGGGGGTTGAATGGCAGCGGCGGCAGTGGTTACGCGCGCGGGAGGCGCGCGCACGGTCTCCATGGTGAAGCGGGGGAGGGGTGGCCCTCAGTAAGTGGCAGCGACTGATGTCGCTGGCGCCCGCGGTGGCAGATCCGATCCTCCTGGCCAAGCACGCGGTGCCATGTCCCGGGGGTGCTGCACCCACCTCCTGTGGGATGTGAAGAAACGGAGTTTGGGCCTGGAGGAACCCGGCCTGCTGCGGAGACGGTATCTAGGTGAGGAAAGAGCGGGGGAGGAGGGCGGGGTCGGGGGCGCTGGGACGCGGCGGCCCTGTGTCGACCCCCCCTCCCGCCCCAAGCGCCGAAGCTCGGTTTGATCTTTTTGACGGCGAGTCATCGGGACCGTCGTCGTGGAGCGTCTTTTCTGATCGTGAGCCCCTCCTTAGAGTAGCGCCGTGCAGGTTTGAATGCCGAAACGGGGAGCAGGCGGTCGGACACCCAGGATGGTCGGTAAAAACGGCTAGGGAACCTCGGCCGATCTAGCTCTTCCGCGCCCTCCGTGCCCCCTTACCCTTAACAAGTTTCCGCGGCGAGTCTTGGGAAAGAAAACCCTCTCTTCCGAACACGAAACGTCGACTTGCAGTTTTCCTCTGGTTGCTTTTAATATCCCATTCTTCGGCACATGTTGCACTTGGCCAGGGAGCAATTCTAAATTAATTGAACTGAGTTCAGTTTAATCAAGTAACAACTGGACCGCTCTTCTTTCCCGTCCGCTGCCCTAATAGGTCTCTGTAGCACAGAGAAATCAGGAAGGGGCTTAGTGTCGTTTAGCATGAGCTAAAAACAAACTCAGGATGTACATAACCTTGGAAACATTTAACTCAAACGTGATGAGGTTCTGGCTTTCATAGACTTTGGGATTCCCCTCCCCCCTCAAAAATATGTACGAATCATTCCGGAATAATTAATCATAAAAATATGATAGCGACCTTATTTATACGCAGAATGGATGCATTTTTTTTTAACCAAAGTTGAGCGAATCTACAGTGGGCCTTAAATATGTTGAGCAGTGAAATAAAATCAAAGTGTTATTTTTTAATGTTTATTAATATAGAAAAATAACGTAGCACTAAATTTTTTTTTATTTTTGTATGTATGGTTATGGACTTCCTAAAACTTTGTAAGAAAAACATTACTTTTAATCAATTTCTGGGTGGTAGCCACACTAATTTTTTTCAACTAATAACTTTTTGTTTTTAAAACTGCCCAGCATGGAAGGAGGTGGTGAGATTACAAATGATTTCTGTGTGGTTTTGCTGTAGCTATATTAAAATCTAGTACTTTAGATAGTAGAATATAATTTATTAAAAAACTGATATTTGGTAGAAAAAATGTGATAGCAGAGTTGCACCTGTGACTTGCCTGTTTACATCCAGGTGTATATTTGATTGCTCCCAAATTTGTTTCAGTATGTACTATTCTAATGAAAATGAATATCCTCTTTCAAAAAACCAGGAGTGTGGCAATAATTTTTCTGATTATTAAATTTTATTAAAATGTAAAAGTTTTATGAGCTGCAGAAAAGATGCTGCCAGACTTATTTTCATTACCATAGGCTGTTCTTCCAATACTCTCTTGGAAAAGTATTAATCACATCTGTCAAACTTGGTCTGGAAATCTGCTAGAGCCACTCTTCTGGCTTTTTCTCCTGAAAGCTGATTTTTTTAAAACCATTATGCAGAATTACAACCTCATTGCCACCAATTCATGGTTAAATAGGTCAACATTTATGTATATAATAGGGTGTAATTATGGCACATTAATATCAGCAAAGTGGATATTAAAAGAGTTAAATGACTAAAGAAGAAAATAAAAGCCAATTCTAGAAAAAGAACAGGCAGACAAGAAAAGAGGCACAATCCTGTTCTTCCTCCAAATTCTATTTTTTTCTTGCATAAAAATGTGAATGCATTTGATAAGTTTCCTCAAGTTTATTTGAAGAGTAGTCTTCCAATTACATCCCAATTACAGGGAGTGATGTTATGATGATATTTTGGAGGACCGTGGCATGCTTATTATTTGAATATTTTATCCGAATTTGGTGTAAGTTTAAGATCTGAACAATTATAAATTTTAGATATGTTGGGCATAGAATCCCCATTTAACTATAGCTAGCTATTTTCTCTTTTTTATTGCTTATCTTTAATTAGTATAGCTTGCTATTTCTTACTTGTTTTCTGCACTTTCTAAAATGGTGCTTACCTTGAAAAAAATGAGTAATATCTTGAATGTATATAATTTAATAAAGTAGTAGGCCACTGACTGCCCATCATTCATTTCTGATTGGTCCAGGTGAATATTTCAGTCAATGCTGTATCTAAGACTAGGCGATGGTTTTTCAATTCTTCAAATTCTTCCCTCATTGTTATAAGAGATAAACTAAAATATACCAGATTGATTTGTTTACATTCAGAATGAATTGGCTTTTCTCCTAAAGATCTTCAAATTCTAGTGATACGGATACATTGTATTAGCTAGTTTCAAAGATCAATTGTAGTTGTTGCTTTCATTTAAAATACTGAGACCCTATAACCACTCAGAGTTGTTCAGAACTATTCAGATTCAGGCAGCATATAAATGTTAATAATAATACTAAAATGAATATGATCAGAACAAGTTTGTTGCTGCTTAACATTTTAGCTATTTTACACTTGTTTTTTCTATTGTATGAGTGATGCTAATAATATTTCTATGAACTTTTGAAACAACAATAAGTGGATAAAAAGTGTTTCAGTAAACAAGTATGACCAAATGCAGATTGAAAAGGTATCAAGAAAACAAATTGTAAACATGCTAACATAAAGACTGTAGATTTATTTTTGTCAAGACTAGTGCATCCACTCAAAACATTCTTGATTTGGTTTATTATTTTGATTTATATGCCACATTTCTGATGAAACAATTTAAAGTTGTTCATAGTAAGAACAACATACACAGATGCAAAAATATGAGGCAAAATGTATACAGTAAAATATAAAAAGTGGCATCTTCTTCCTACCGCCACATATGAAATACCTGTTCAGTGTCTAAAGCATGCAACATTTGTGCATGCTCTCAAACATCAGATAAAAAACTAATCTTAGAATACACCCTCATAGGAAAGCAAATAACGTTTCCTTGTATTGCAATTTATAACTAATAGATGAAGATGCATCACATTTCTTGAGATAAAACTGGGTATATATAGTAGAGTACTTTTAGAGCATTGTTTATTGTGCTGCTAAAATATGCCAGTTTTAAACTGACTTTAAACTGAAATGATTGAGGCATAAATGTTTGAAATGGTGAGGAACCAGAAGGAAAATATTAAATATAGTCAATGTTTCTCTTAAAATGTAAACTCTTACAGTTCAGTAGTGGTATATAAACAGTTAGAAAGAAGCAGATATCAAAGCAAATTAAACATTGGATATAAAATTTAGAATAATAAATGATTCCAGTTAATACATATCTTAGTCTTTATTGAACAAGACAGTTACCAACCACTTCAAAGGTTATACTCACTCTCCCTCCCAGAGACTGATTATATGTAGCACATTTTTAATGTACTTGAGTGACCAGATACAATAGAATACATGAACCCATCTACATACAATCTAAGTGCAAGATTGATGCAGAGAGTATTTTGTTTAATTCAGTCAGTGATTCTGGATCACCATGAATGAACTAATTTAAGAGACTATGTAAATTTGTTGTTGCTGGGGAAATGACATTATAAAAACACAAGAAACTATTTAAAATACATTTTAAGAATAACCAAAGTATACCAACCATTATAATCAGAATATTAATTTCATGGCAGTATTTCAGTATTTGATACAGGTTTATAGTCACAGAATTCCTCTTTAATGTTATAGCATTAGTTTGAAAGTAGCTTTCCAATGTAGCTTGAAAAAGTTTATAGGTCTTCTGAGAGATCTTTGCTGAACATTGCATTTCTTACTGGATGATACAACTATTTGTTCAGCACACTTGGGATTTGACTAGATTCTAATACAATTTTGCTTTCTCACATCTGCAAGCACTGCATGTGCAGTTAATAGACAACAAAATATATCAGAATATTATTCAGGGTTTCAGTAATTATTTTCCTTTAATATAAAAGACTAAATTATTTATCATTCAAAATAAAAGAAATCTCTGGCACTGATATATAAAAACTGTATCCAGTCATTTGAAGGCAATACCATGCCAAATTCTCCAGATTCTTTTAAATCTGTGTTTCTCTGTTGCAGACGCTGGAACACAGAAAACAGGCAGGGAATGCGATGATGAACCAGTGTTCTCCTTCATCTGCCTAAGAGAATAGTTCAAAACAATTCAACAACAGCTTTACAATTTGTAGTTATTTAGGGCCCTGTGAAACAAGTAGGAAACACATCTTTTTACATGTGGCAAAATACCCCCCCCCCCCGAAGGACTAACAGATTGGATGGAGTTTGCTTATGGGTATAGCTTTTAGTTACAACCTGTGCTTTAAATGCCAACTCAAATCTAATGATCTGGAAATATCCCCAGGAATTACGCCTTTCTATAGAAGCACAGGATACACGTTGCCTCTGTTTTTCTGCATATTGGGACAGTTGCAAGGATCTGAAGAAAGTCAAAATAGCCCAGTTCCATTTTAAAGTATCAAACACAGATTGCATTTTTTCAGGTTATATGCAGAGCAATCAAACTTTTGAGCAGTTACTTTGAAGATGGACTACATAATAGCAGAATTGATTTTGGAATGATGCAAAGGCCATGTGTGAAATGGTTTTGAGTTTGTGGTTGATAGTCATTGAATGGGTGTCTAATTTTAACTCTGTTTATAATCAGGAACAATTTGAAAAGGGTTGAAAGGTGAAAGAAAGTTCTATTTTGAGAAAGAGATAATCTGATTGATGATTGTGCATGTCAAGAAAATTATTCAGGCTGCTTCTCATTCTGTTAGTAAACCCTTGAATGGCTGTACCGTTATCAGATCCTATAACTGAATGCTAAAGAAGATAAACATATACAATCCTCTTCCCACTTAGACAAAAAACTTTATCTTTGACTTTAATTTACTATATAGAAGGATTTTTTAAAAAGTATGAAAGAAATTCAAGTGAGTGTTGTATGGTCACAGTCATACTTTAGTGAGGACTAAGTCCTTGGGTCTGTAATTTGCTTCCTATAAAAATATTTTCTTGAGTTTATGCAGTTGTTTTGTAAATAATATGAAATATGGGAAATAAGTATATTTAAAGAAAATTTAAAAGTTATGCAAGCACGCTGCATTACTTTTATAGTGGAAATAACATTTTCTTGCAAGTTAATATTTTAAATCTAGTCTGTTGCTCTAACACTGTTTACTTCAGTTGAACATTCAAGTATGTGTAACATTATCATTCACTAAGCAGGAGGGGTTATATTTAGCTATGTACTCATTTGGCTGTGTCATATGTTTAAAATTCCAATAAAGATTGCAGTATTGCTGTATACAAAATTGCTTTTCCTTAATAATAATAATAATAATAATAATAATAATAATAATAATAATAATGGGACCTTGGAGGTCATCGAGTCCAACCCCCTGCTCAGGCAGGAACCCTACACCATTTCAAAATGCATTTCAACGATTAAAATTAAAATAGATAGTAAGAATTACTTTAAAATCGATTAATTATGATAAGCTTTTAAAATAGTGGTATAATAGTTGAAGTTTAATAATTTTGTCAATCAAGGAAACAAGGTCAGAAATGTCAATTGCCAATGATTCCTTATTTTGAAGAAATTAAGTACATCAACTGGAATCACATTATTTTGTGAGGTATACTGTACTTATGCCCACAAATGCCCACAAGTTGTGATGTACTTTGATCTGAAATTTGATTTAGTTCCAGAATCATTGTTCAATAAAACAAAATGAGGTATGAAATCAATTGCAGAGGACAATTAAGTTATTTAATTACAACAGTTGTAGAAGAAAAATGCACACAGTTTAGAATTAATATTTTAAAAATAGTGATGTTTGCAAAAAATACTGAAAAAGTGATGTGGAATATTAAGTCCAGCAGTAATAATAGGTTTTTTTATGCACCAATAATTAGATGCAGACTAATAAGATCACAACAAAATATAAAACCTCTATAGCTGAAGAGCCCGTAACATTTAAAACTATTGTTAGAATCAATATCTAAATAACCCTAGATATCCATATAAAGAATTAATGCTTAATCAGCTTTACTGGTAAGAATACTAATTAAATCTAAGCTATATTTGTAATTCATTGCGGTATGCTCTTGTGAGATCGGTGCCCATATAAATATGATAAATAAATATTTTCTGGAGATAGGAAAAGAAGGGAGTAATATGCCATCTTTGATAGATAAATCATATTCACATAGTGATACATAAACAATGAAAAAAGAGAATATTAGAGGTTAATCATTATGCCTACTCTGATCTAATGCAAGAATCAAATGTTGATATAACAAGGAATCTTGAAAATTCTTACATGATCTATTTTTAAAAATAAATTGATGTAATTTACACTGGAACGTAGATATATTTTGTATTCTACATTCCTTTATTTTGCAGTATAGTACATACAATTATAAAAAGTATGTAAAAACCATAGGTTTTATATCGACTATAACTGAAACATTTCAGTTATGAACTGATTTGTACTTCCCTAGCTACCTTACCTTCCAAGTCTGTTCAAGCACTTATAGGTTAGTTTCATATTTTCCCAACTAAATAGCAGGTAGACTTCTTTCTGTATGTATTAAATCTTTAGAATTCAAAAATCAAGTTTTCCCTTGGCAGACCTAAAATGATTGCAGTGATTGCAACAATGTGCTCAAAGTAGAATGTGACATTGGCATTTGTAGAAGTGAAGGTAAGTTGGATACAGTATTGACAATTCCTCTATTTACAATGTTTATATCTTTATATCCTTTATAAATAGAAACTAAAAAGAATAGTGCCCTAATCCATCATTAATTTGTATATATTCATGGAAGAAAACTTTAAAAATCTGATACTTATATGTGACTCATCTTATCTATTAAATAAATATTTAGACCTGTGTTCATATCATTTCCTTAGCTGATCTCTTGCGTAGGTTTGCCTACATTCATTCTGAATACATATATATTAGTGGATTGGAAAATAGTGTTTTCTTTATTTTTTCTTTATTTTTCTTATTTATATTTTTTCTTATTCTTATTTTTCTTTATTATTGCCTTAGTATTATGTTTTAAAGAATTTCAGCACTAGGTATTTGATTAGTTGTAGTTGATGTTTCGCTTAAAAAAAAAGCAATTCACTCTTCCAGAAGTGTTCACTTTTGCCCTCACAAATGAAACAAGACAAGGGAATAAGGCATGTTGGAATGTACTCAAGGAAAAGTCATCATAGTAACTTTTTATATGCTGAGGCAAGTTGGGGAATTTACTCAAATTTGAGGGCAGTTGTGTTTTGCCTTTGACATTATACTGAATGTGTAATGCTACAGTATATATTTCTGACTAAATGCTTGTTGGATAACTCTTTGCCTGCTTGGCTGATTGGGCTGAACAAATGCTTATCCATTGACTGGGAAGTCAAATTCCCAGTCTCTGCCGCAGAAAATTGAGAGCAATGGAGTTTTTCAGGTGGTGTTTGTAAATATTAAAATACTGTATGTTAGTTAATCTTCCAGTATTTTTTTTTCCACAGGGAGAAGAGAATTTATCCAAAGATTAAAACTTGAAGCAACATTGAATGTGCATGATGGCTGTGTAAGTGATTTCTTGTTCCTTTTAAATTTTTAAACACTTTTAACATTATCTTTTAAAATTGCAACCTCCCTCCAGATAAGAATATGAGGGCAGATTTGTAGAGTAGGCAAGGTTCTCCAGAGTAAGAGTACTATGTTATTTAAAAGTGTCTATTGCACAAATGGACAAGCACAGTAACGTGCAACCTTGGTTAAATTAAAAAGATAGTTGCAAACAATTTCATATAGTGATAGAAAGGCTTTGTCTGAAAATTAACATTCTATTTTCTTTCCCATCTCTGCCCTTTTGGCCTCCTGGCACTGTATCGCCTCTGCTCCCCTTGTCACCCTGCACTTTGCTCATCCTGCTGACCCTCTCCGCTCACATTCCTTTTGGCCTGCTGCCTTGCACTTGCTGCCCCTGCTGCCTTGTGTTCATTGACTCTGCCATCCTGTACTCTGTTTGCCCTGCAGGCCTGTGGTCTTTGCTACCTGCAGCCCATTCACCCTGTTGGCCTTAATGTTCTGTTCCCATGGTCCTGCTGCTCTGCACTTGCAAGATTGGTGCATGCTATTTGGAGAACATGCAAGCGGCTTTGGAAAGAAGACCTAGTGCAGCCAGCTGCTGCCCCACACGTGGCCAGGCCAGGCATATCTTGCCAGCAGTGGGAAGGAATATGGTGAAAGTTGGCTGGGCATGGCAGGGTCTGAAGAGTAAAGGCTGGCAGAGATGGCTGTGGCTTTGCACTTGATGCTAGAATGGCTGCCTGCGGTGCAAGGCTTGAGACAGCATTCTAGAGTGATGGCAGCAGTAGCACTAGGACTAAGTAGAGGCCTGGGATGATGATGGCTGGCTGAGACTGCTGAAGGCGCTGGACCTCTACTTCAGTCCCTGCTGAGAAGTGGCACTGTGGAGTGCAGCCAAATGAGCACAAATGATTAGTTAGATAAGCAAGTGTGAACAGTTGAAGTGCCCTGCAGTCATATATGTAGGCGATCTATAAGAAATGTACAGTTGTTTATATTGACTTAAACAATATTGCTTATTTTACATATTAAGTATTAAGTCAGTACAGATAGTCCTCGACATTCATTTAACAATTGTTTGAAGTTACAATTGCACTGAAGAAAACGACTTACAATTGGTCCTCGCACTTACACCATTCACAGCATCCCCATGCTCACCTGATCAAAATTCAGGTGCTTGGCAACCGACATGCCTCTGTGACAGTTGTGGTGTCCTCGGATCATGTGGTCACCATTTACAAACTTCCCAAACATCTTCTTTCTAACAAAGTCAATGGAGAAAGCTGGATTTGCTTAATGACTGCAGTGACTTAACAACCATGGCAAAAAAGGTTGTAAAATCAAGCACCACTGACTTAATAATCACTTTGCTTAGAAGCAGAAATTCTAGTCCCAATTGTGGTCATAAGTCAAGAACTACTTATACTGACTTAAACAATATAGACCAGGCTAAGTCTAAAAACACTAGGGCAGTGGTTCTCAACCTGTGGGTTGGGACCCCGTTTGGGGTCGAATGACCATTTTATGGGGGTCGCCAAACAACGCAGTCCGCCATTTTTTCCCCCTTTTCCTTAGCTGTGCTTCTCCCTTTTATTCTATTGGCTTTTGAAAGCCAATAGAATAGACTCTCTTGAATAGAGTCTAATTCTATTGGCTTTTAAAAGCCAATAGGAATTGTCCAGACTGTTTCTGCCCTGCTGAGCCCGCCAAAAATCCCATTCTGCAAACAGTGCTGCACCAGTTGAGTAGTCCTTGACTTACGACCGGTTGAGTAGTCCTCGACTTATGACCGGTTGGGGGTCGCGGCATTAAAAAGGTTGAGAACCATTGCACTAGGGAGTTCCTGGAAGCTTTGCATTGAGACAAATCAGCCATCAGCAGACACACAGAGATAAACCACATTTTCATATCATTCAAAAGAGACAATAAAAAGCTAAGAAGAAAAGAAAAAGATCAGAACACATTCTCTTTAACAATCAACACTCAAATAAGTATAATATAAAGTATATAAAGTAATTACAAGATAAGTATAATATAATATAAACAATCAAGCACAAAACTATCGCAATCAAGGAACTATCAAAGAGAAAACCACAACCCCACCAACACTGGCAGGGCAAGCTACTTTATGGAAACAGGGAGCAAACCCTACAGTAATAAGCACTGATGATGTTACCTACGGTGGTCAGTTAATGATCTAGTCAGTTAATGATATGTCTGCGAGCAAAGCCCCAAAAGCACCTAGCATTCCACAGTTCAACTATGAGCTACACATTTTCTATTGGAAACAATATTTCCATATGCTAAGTACATTCCCTGGCCTAGATCTAGTTTGTTCCACACTAATAGCATTCAGCTAAATATTTTTCACATTTAAATTAAGTTTTTCTTTGTCCATTTATATTGGGAATTGATTATTAATCTTGACAGGATTCAGCCTTCAGAGGTATTATTTTTCTGTGGCTTCAGTTTTCAGAAAAATAGGCATGTTAATAATGTGAGGCCAAACCAAGGATCTTGCAATATTTATTTATTAATCATTAATATTTTGTTGTGGCCAACTAAGTACTTTTAATATTTTTATATGTAATTTTGAAAACTCTTCAAGATTAATGTAGCTGCTAAATATTTATTCACAGGTGAATACAATATGCTGGAATGATACAGGAGAATATATTCTATCTGGATCTGATGATACTAATCTTGTAATTACTAATCCATATAGTAGAAAGGTAAGGTAGCCAACTATTCATTCTTCTGGTTAAAATGCTATTATAAATACATGTTTTGATGATACTATCTGTATCCTGTATACTTTCAAAAATTTTTATCTGTCCTCAGTGAAAGGATTGATGCAAAACCCATTAAATTTCACAAAAACACAGGAAAGATCATATGAATTTCTCCTATTTCCTTTTCTACCATTCCCAATCATGTTATGTAAATATTGTATTAATGCAATGGCCATATTCTTCTACAACTGTGAAATTAATTGGCTGATTTGGAGACTTTCAGCCTCAACACATCAGAAAGAATCAATTATTAATATAAAGGACCATCATATTAAATGATTTTGGTGGATGGATAGGGTAATGGTAGAAAAGGTATATAGGAGTTATCATTCCCCATCTCTTGTGTAGGCTAATAAAAATGTTAATCTTGTTTCCTAGGTATTAACAACCATTCGCTCAGGACACAGGGCAAATATTTTTAGTGCAAAATTTTTACCATGCACCAATGATAAGCAAATAATATCCTGTTCTGGAGATGGGGTCATTTTTTATACTAATGTTGAACAAGATGCTGAAACCAACAGACAGTGCCAATTTACTTGCCACTATGGAACTACATATGAGGTACTACAATATAATACCTTGTTACTATAAAGACAGCATTAATTAAATACTTATGCAAATTGTGATCATAGGTGGAAATCCAGTGACTTGCAAATAGAACAGACCAAAGTATATAAATATTTGGAAATCTATTTTCAATGCTCTATCGAATGGATACATCAAATTCAGTCTGTGCCAAAAAGGCTTCAAATGCTATTCAGTATTTTTCATTAAATTGTATTCTGATTATATAATTCAGGACCAAAATCAGTTTATTATATTATTAATTACATATTAATTGATTTTTATTATATAAGATTATATAGGTAATGTTTATGCAATTTTTGGATCTTAAGCTCAGTTTTTAAAGCAACTTTTGATGCCATTTTTAATTCTACTTATCTTTACTTTGTAGATCATGACAGTCCCAAATGATCCCTACACATTTTTGTCTTGTGGAGAAGATGGTACTGTAAGATGGTTTGATACAAGAATCAGGACAAGTTGTACAAAAGAAGACTGTAAAGATGTAAGAGAGATTTGTTAATGACATGAAGTATCACATTAGGTTCAGAACTTAATTTGCTTGTTGCCGGCAGTAGAAATTATGGAAAAGCGTCCACGATACATAATCAAGCTATGTACCGTGTTTTCCCAAAAGTAAGACCTACCCCCAAAATAAGCCCTAGCTTGATTTTTGGAGTGGACCTAATGTAAGCCCTACCCCAAAAATAAGCCCTAGTTTTGGGGTGAGGCGCACACCTAAAAATCAAGCTAGGCTGAGGGAGAGGAACTGCCGCACGCACCCCCACCCACTTACCAGGCCTGCTTCTCCTCACTGGCCCACTTCTTCTGTGGTGTCCCCTGGCCTGCATTTTGCAGTCAGAGGCCTTTCCGGAAAGGTCCCTGACTGCAAAATGCAGACTGGAGCTCCATCCTCAGCTGCAGAATGAAGCTGCTCCTTCAGCTGTAGAAGAAGTGGACTGGTTGGGCAGGGCTGTTGGTGCCGCTACCGCGAGGTGAGTGGGAAAGACACCTGCTGAAAATAAGACCTAGTGCCTCTTTTGGAGGCAAAAAGAAAAAAAAAGGATGATGATTGGAAATTGCTATATTTTGATGTGGTTATGTTATAAGCCCTGGAGGGGCCCAGGGAAATGGAAATGTTTTTAGATATCTCGATTGCTGAGGTGGGCATTTTTATTGTCCCTTTGGTCTGTAGTTTGTATCTTTGTTTTTTATGATATTTATTAATACAGATTTTTATATTTTATATAAAATATAAAAGTGATTGACAAGATAGAAAAATGTGGGGTAGACAGAACCACCACCAGATGGATCCGTAGCTGGCTGACCGGCCGTACTCAGCGAGTGGTCCTCAACGGAACTGCATCTATTTGGAGGGAAGTGTGTAGTGGGGTGCCCCAGGGCTCTGTTCTGGGCCCAGTACTCTTCAACATCTTCATCAACGATTTGGATGAAGGGATAGATTGGGAACTCATCAAATTTGCAGATGACACCAAGCTGGCAGGAATAGCCAACACTCCAGAAGACAGGCTTAAGATACAGAAGGATCTGGACAGACTTGAACTCTGGGCACTAACTAACAAAATGAAATTCAATGGTGAAAAAAGCAAGGTTCTACATTTAGGCAAGAAAAACCAAATGCACAAGTACAGCATAGGTGGCACCATGCTCAATAGTAGTAACTGTGAGAGGGACCTCGGAGTCCTAGTAGACAATCACCTAAATATGAGCCAGCAGTGTGCTGCAGCTGCAAAAAGGCCAACACAGTGCTAGGCTGCATTAACAGAGGGATAGAATCAAGATCACGTGAAGTATTAATACCACTCTTCCATGCCTTGGTAAGGCCACACTTGGAATACTGCATCCAGTTTTGGTCACCACGATGTAAAAAAGATGTTGAGACTCTAGAAAGAGTACAGAGAAGAGCAACAAAGATGATTAGGGGACTGGAGGCTAAAACATAAGGAACGGTTGCTAGAATTGGGTATGTCTAGTTTAACGAAGAGAAGGACAAGGGGGGACATGATAGCAGTGTTCCAATATCAGGGGCTGCCGTAAAGAAGAGGGAATTAAGCTATTTTCCAAAGCACCTGAAGGCAGGACAAGAAGCAATGGGTGGAAACTAATCAAGGAGAGAAGCAACCTAGAACTAAGGAGAAACTTCCTGACAGTGAGAACAATTAATCAGTGGAACAGCTTGCCTCCAGAAGCAGTAAATGCTCCAACACTGGAAGTTTTTAAGAAGAGACTGGCCAGCCATTTGTCCGAAATGGTGTAGGGTTTCCTGCCCGAGCAGGGGGTTGGACTAGATGACCTCCAAGGTCCCTTCCAACTTTACTACTATTATTATTATTATATCTGTTGTTTTTACATTTCTTGTTTTATCTGATTTTTGTCTGCCACCCAGAGTCATTTTTGGTGAGGTGGGTGGCTATATAAATTTGCTTAATAAATTACAAACACACACACACACACACACTGTTTTGGTGTCTGATCTTGGTCTAGTAACTGTATTCTTGTCTGCTTTCCAATGATTAAAATATATTTTGATGAGAGCCAGACTTAGCTTGTCTTAAATTAGTCATTCCAAGTTAATTTCATATTGTAATCATAGATGAGATAATACAATATTTGTGTGGGCTTTTCAAATAAGTGCAGTATTTCCTCTTTTTTCCCCCTAGGATATTTTAATCAATTGTAGGAGAGCTGCCACATCTGTAGCCATCTGCCCACCCATACCATATTACCTTGCAGTTGGCTGTTCTGATAGTTCAGTAAGAATATATGATCGACGCATGCTTGGCACAAGAGCAACAGGTAGGATGATATACGTTAATGTTGAATACATAGCTGAGGTATATTAGATGTGCATTTCCAATGAATTTATGTAATGCAAAATATTTTGTCTACAGTGTTTGTTTCTATTCATAATATCTGATAATATTCAGAATACTACTCTTTTAAAAGACTCTCAAAGTCTGTTAAGATTGTTTTCAATGTTTTCTTGCAATGTGGACTGTAAAGTATTGACATTCTGTTTGTTTAAATGGCATTTGTGTACCTTATCTAACAAAATGAAATTCAGTGGTGAAAAAAGTAAGGTTCTGCATTTAGGCAAAAAACCCGCAAATGCACAGATATAGTATAGGTGGTACCTGGCTCAATAAAAATAACTGTGAGAGGGATCTTGGAGTCCTAGTGAACAATCACTTAAATATGAACCATCAGTGTGCTGCAGCTGCCAAAAAAGCCCATGCAGTCCTAGGCTGCATTAACAGAGGAATAGAATCAAGATCATGTGAAGTGTTAATACCACTTTATAATGTCTTGGTAAGACCACACTTGTAATACTGCAACCACTTTTGGTCACCATATTATAAAAAAAGATGTTGAGACTCTGGAAAGAGTACAGAGAAGAACAACAAAGATGATTAAGGGACTGGAGACTAAATACATATAAAGAACGGTTACTGAAATTGGTAATGCCTAGTTTAATGAAAAGAAGGACTAGGGGTGACATGATAGCAGTGTTCCAGTATCTAAGAGGCTGTCACAAAGAGGAGGGAGTTGATCTATTCTCCAAGGCACCTGAAGGCAGGACAAGAAGCAATGGAGGAAAACTAATCAAGGAGAGAACCAACCTAGAATTAAGGGGAAATTTCCTGACAGAACAATTAATCAGTGGAACAACTTGCCTCCAGAAGTTGTGAATGCTCCAACACTGGAAGTTTTTAAGAAGAGACTGGACAACCATTTGTCTGAAATGGTATAGGTTTCCTGCTTGATCAGGGGGTTGGACTAGAAGACTTCCAAGGTTGCTTCCAACACTGGTATTCTGTATTTGCCCTAGTATTATTTTATGCCTCATTGGGCTGGCTTTTCACTAATTTCCAAGTTAATTTTTGAACTCCAAAGAAAACGTAGCCTTTAGATTTGATGTAAAAAGAAATTGCATGCCCATCAACAATATTTTTTTCTTTTTATTTTTGAATAGTCATGAGAAATAAATGTAGAAATATTTTCCTTCAAAAACTGTTTTTTGTTGTTGTTTAATGATTTAAATACTAAACATCATGGTTATATTAATTTTTGATTAGGGTAGCTTTAGAACAAATATTAGTTTTACTTGGTTTTGTTTTGTTTTGGTTTTTTTGTTTTTGTTTTCTATAATTGCTAAACATTTTTAGTATAGTTTCCTACCACTTTGAGATAGAAAACACATAAAACTATAGTTTAAACTCAGAAATAGATTTTATGAATTAAATTTATTTTATATAATTTATAAATACCCTATTTTATTTATTAATTTATTACAAATAACTTTATACCACCAAGCAGAACATGACTTCTTGCAGTGGCACATCCAAATTAATGTCCTGAAACTCTGGAGGGCAGTATTTTGGAGGCCATTGCAATTATGAAGAAGTCAAAAGATTGCAGTGTACAAAATAATAATTTAATATGAGGAAGAGGGAAGCTAGGATTTAGGGTTTTGGAGGGAAGAGGATTGAAAGGGCTTCTGGGAGATTATTATTAAGCTTGAGTGGACATTTGGATGTTTATTGATTGGGCTGACTGATCAACCAACTGTATTGGAACCAATTTTACTGTTTTTTACTGATCCTGATTTCATTTTATTCTACACTGCTACTGATAGGAAGAAAATTTTGAATATGTCATTTTTGTTTGCTTATTCATGACCAAGTCATGAACAAATGCATTTTTATTACAAACAGCCTGGCTTTTATCAGTGGAGACTGAGGCTGAGATCATGGGCAATCTTCCAAAACCATGAACTAGGCTAGATGAGACGTGAACTAAATTCCCTGAAACATCTCACTGAGTGATTCCTGACATACCTTCTCTGGCCCATCAAACCTAAATTTGCCCAATTGTCAACATATCGCAAAACCCTATAAAAGTCGGCTCTCCAGATATCTCCATACTCAACTGTTTTTGTTGTGTTTCTTGTGAGATAACTAAAAAGAGTTTTATTTTTCTTGCAAGCTGCATATTTTTTCAGTAAAAGTCTCTTCATTTCAAATGAACACTAGACAGATTTGCATATACTGTTTTGCATTTGAAAAATGGAGAATATTTTCAGCTGTTGTTTTTTTCTTGTAGGTAATTATGCAGGCAGGGGTACTACAGGATTGGTGGCACGTTTTGTTCCTCCTCATCTTAATAATAAATCCTGTAGGGTAACATCTCTCTGCTACAGTGAAGATGGACAAGAAATTCTTGTGAGCTATTCTTCAGACTACATATACCTATTTGATCCTAAGGATGATACAGCTAGAGAATTGAAAGTTCCTTCTGCAGAAGAGCGAAGAGAAGAGGTAAGCTTTCCATAGTGCTGATTCGATGTCAAGATAATTAGCTATATTTTTTAAAAATACTTTTCTTAAACCACAGTTGTTATATCAGTGTAATTTAGCTAATATTTTAAAAAATGAAATATTTAATAAATGATCAATGTCAGATAGATAGTTTTGTTAGAGATTCTGAGAAAATCATATTAAAAAAACACGTGAACAAAAATAGTAGCTAAAATTTCAGTCCTAGAAGAGAACAAGAGTGTTTGTTTAAGCATTTAAATGGCTGCCCAACTCAGACTATATAACTTTGGGCAGCATTTAAGAAAATATACAAATAGATGGGCTGTTTCTTGTTTTTTAAATTCTGATGTTTCCTTTCTGAACTATATGTCTTAAATTTGCTATGAACAATTGCAACACTGAATGATTCGACCTATGCTGGAAATTCTGATACTGTAGTTTTGATTTAAGGAAGTTTACTGACTACATCAAGTATAATAATGTGCTACCTATATTTTTTCATTTACATGAATTTTCTTTGTTTTTGTTTTGTTATTTTCTCTTGCATAAATTCTTTTTATGCAAAAGCAACAAAAAGATGGTATTATGCAATGTATGCTAGAAAGTCAATTTGCACCAAAGGTCTAAAAACATCACAAACTTCTTGCCAAAACTGCTTGACCTTTCCATCAGCAACTTTTTTTTTTTTTTTTTGCTCTCACGTATTTACCATCATGTTGTACGGTCATTCTAATTGTGCATCTCATTTCCCATTTAATCCCTTACTTGCAATCACTACTACCATTACTATGGAGACAAAAGAGCTGTCAACATATTGTCCAACCCCTTACACAAAAGGGAAAGGATCTGTCTGATATAAGAAATTTGGGCAAACTATATTGTGCCGAAGCTGGTGAACAAGTTTTTAACCTAGGCAACTCTGCAGTGTGTAACATAGCAGAGAATGCCTAACAAAAGTTTTGGTATTGTAGTGCATTTGGTCTCTTTGTCATGATAATCACACACATTAGATATCTTATGGTAGAAAACATGGAAAAGACATTTCACTATATATACAATTTGAGATAAGGAGAAAAACATGTTTGAATAACGTAGTGCTTAAGAATGAGACTATTTATGAGCATATTTGTCAATGCATTTGAGTTACAAATTTGACTCCATGCCCTGCAACCCTCTTTTTTCTTTTGTTCATAGGTTTTATGAACGATAAATGAATTCATTTTTATGCAAAGTTTTCAGGAAACATTGCTCTATGTATTCATGCACAGGGCAGTAGATATTTATAAACATATTGCTTACTATTCAGAAAATAACTACAATGATTCATATCCATATCATCTAGGAATTTGACAATTGCAACATGCTCGATAGCTGGTCCTCAAAACAATTGTATTCATTTAATGACCATTACAATGGCACTGAAAAAAGTGACACCACTGTTTTCACACTTCCGACTGTTGCAGCATCCTGGGGGAGGTCACATAATCAAAATTTGGATGCTTCGCAACTGGCATGTGTTTATGATGGTTGCTGTGTCCAAGGATAATGTGGTCATCTTTTGCGACCTGCCGACAAGCAAAGTCAGTGGGGAAGCCAGATTCACTTAACAAGATGTTACTAACTTAACAACTGCAATGATTCACTTCACAACTGTGGTAAGAAACGTCATAAAATAGGGCAAAACTCACTTAACAACTATCTTGCTTAACAACAGAAATTTGGGACTCAGTTATGGTCGTAAATTGAGGACTACCTGTATTTGAGTCTTCCTGTGCAGAACACTTAGAAAATACAGTGAGAACAGAATCATCTATCCATTTCCTGATGGGTAAGAGCAGCTTTAACAAGTACTGCATTTCAAGCACTGCATTGATATAAATGGGATTCTGAATGAAATTCAAAGTTCAGATCTTAAACTATAAGCCTTACATAGGTTGTCTTTTTTCCCATCAAGAGCATATAGGCAGTGTTATCAAAAAGATGCTTTGGGTTCCTTCTCATGCGAGGAAAGGTTGGAACCCAGTAGACAGAGCTTTGTGATTGTCTCATTATCAAGGAACAGCTTGTCTTGGATATTCAATTAATCCTCACATTTTGAATGTCAGAAAAGCAGTAAACTTGGGTTTGTTCTTTGAGACAATTGGAAACTAAATAATGTTTAGTCTCCCTTTGTTGTTATTTTTAGTGTTTTTAGTTTTTACATTTTATATGTGTTCCAGTTTTTATTTAATATATTTTGAATTGGTATTACAGGGTTTGAATTGTTTTGGCTGAATTGTTTGCTTGCTGTAAACCCTCTAAAGTCTGTTGATATGACAATAGACAAATGTTTGTAACGATTAGCAGATGAGATATGACAGTTTTGCTTTTCTTATTTTAAAGCACAACAGACAATCCTATTTTTTCTTAGCTGATTATTAGAGCTATGTACACATTTGAAAATAATTCAGGAGTATTTGAACTTTCCACGCAAACCTGAAAAAAGGAGGCTGATTTAATGAATAGTAAGAATGCTGTGTTTATTCAAGGTTTAAAGTACATCTTTTGAATTGGTGTTGAAGCACCACTATGCTATCACACAGCAAAATAATTTCTGAATTATTATTAAATCATGGGCAAATTGCAATTATACTTTAGAGATTTCTGATTTTTTGGCATATGTAAACTAGAGCCTAGAGCTCCCATTCCATTCCACGGCTGCAAAAACTGTGGGTTCCTTTCAAGTATTAAAATCCTATTCCAGTAATAGAGAAGTATCCCTGTGTTGATAACATTGTGTTTCCTTGAATAACATAAATAGCATCATGAAGAATTTGTCAGGCACTACTTGTTGGAATTCATCAATACTACATTAGTAAAAATGTGTTCTGCCCTGTGTGTGATTTTTAAAAAAGGAAAAATCTTGGGGATAATAGGATGTATGTAAAGTTATTATTAGATTGAAAGTTTTAAATATCAAAGTTAAAATTATTAAGTCTACAATCACATGCTCTTGTATTTGGCTAGATTCCACTAGGTTTTGTAGAACATTGATGAGTCGATATGTAAAAATGTTCCCATACATTAAGCCTTCTAAATAGAAAACTAAAAAAAATTAATGGCAAATTTTGAATAATTTTCTATAGCAAAAGATAAACATTCACTTATAAAATTGCATTCTTTTAAGTATCAGGCTCTTGTGTGTATGTGTCCATATATACAATGGACTCATACACACAGGGAAGGGAAACATCTCAAAGGATTAGCAATTGCATACAGGTAATCCTCAATTTATGACCATAATTGAGCCCACAGTTACGGGCTTAGTTAAGTTGTATCTGTTGTTAAGTGGGTCATCACACAACAAACCCGATTTTCAACATTTTTTTGTGGTTGTTAAGGAAATGCTGCAGTTGTCAAGTAAATTTTTATGCTAGAAATTAGAAGTAAATGCTGTTTAATTTATTTATTTGATTTCTATGGCCACCCATCTCAGCAAATAATTCTGGGTGGCTCACAGTTTCTGACAAAAAATGTTGTAAATCATGTTTATATGACCACAGGATGCTGCAAACAGCCATAGATGCAGATCAGTTGCTTAATTTTTATTGGATAGCAATTCCTTTCTTCACCAAGCTGGTGTTCTAATTCTTTTCCTTTTATTTTGATCAACTGTAAAGACCTTTTTGTTATTCTTGGCTAAACTTCCTTTCTGGGAAACCTGTGGTATTCTTACTTTTTGGACTAATTCTTTACTTCTGTGTCCTGTTTTTTGTTTTAGAGCTTCACTGTTTTATAAAGCCACATTGGCTTCTTTTATTATCCTTCATTTTTTTCCTTTTTGGAGTTATATAGATTTGTACTTTCAGGAACTTCTGCCCACATTAAATTCTGTCAGTTTTTCATGTCATGAAGTTCTATTTATCATTTCTTTGAGTTTACTAAAATAAAAAGTTTCAGCATTACATGATCGTTTCCTGCTCTTTCTGCTTTCTCAACCAATTTTTCACTGTTGATTAGTGAGATATTTATATTTATCCCCAAGTCAAATATAACTGATACTCATTATCTAAAAATAAGTTGCAACTATATTAGGGTTTAATGTTCAATCAACAATCCTTAAGAAGTTAACCTGACTGTTATTAAGTGTAAGGGCTAAGGTAAGAATGAGCAATTCCCAAGCCACGATGGCTGTTATATAAACAAGCAACAACTGTTAATCTGGAAAAGTTGGAGGAAGAAATCATGGGCAATCTGTTGTTTGTACAGCTTCATTCTTACCTTAATTTTAATCTAGCTGAACCCTGTTTGTGAATCTTTTGCCAATCTTCAACCCAAGGATTCAAACTAAACTGTGATGTTTCAGGAAATTTCTGGTTTATTGCCAAGTCCAGGTCAGGAAACCTGACATTCAGCCTAGTTCAAATGTTCTTTCTCTGAGATTAGAAGAAAAAGTATTCTCTGGTTAGGAGAGAGATTAAGGGTATAATATGATATAATACTGTAGCCAGTTCTCTATTTTTACTAAATGTTAATCTAAATAATTCCACAGCTCACTCACTGTTTTTAAATATACAGCCCACTACAGTATGTGTATCTGCACCTTATGGCATATTTCTTTTAACCTGAAGAAAAATTGAAAAGCATCTATGCTTTGGAATAGATTTAGGTAATGTCCTCTTTTGATGATTTAAAATATAACGCTATAAATACCAACTGACAGAGTTAAAAACTGGGGATTCTGAAAGTTAAAAAAAAATAAGTGCATCAGTTTGTTATTCATGGACTCTGATACTAAAGAGAAAAAAATTATTAAAAATCCCACTCATCATTCTCAAACTCTTACAGATACCTAAAGTAGTCCATTTATATATAATGACAGTACTAGTTTTCTACTTTCTTCCTAAACCAAATTATGGTTGCAGGTTTGTCCATCTTGATAAAAATAAGACAATAAAACTCTAAGAATTTTAACTTTATCTCATATAGATAAATAGAATAGAACATTTGCACCTTTAATTTCCTTGTTTTTTTCCTTTAGTTACGGCAGCCCCCTGTCAAACGTTTGCGATTAAGAGGAGATTGGTCAGATACTGGACCAAGGGCAAGGCCGGAAAGTGAAAGAGAAAGAGATGGTACTATATTTTGATATTTATATTTATCCTAGTTTTTAATTTAAACTTTGCTTAATATTATATGTACAATGATGCTATAATTTTAGACATGTTCTATCTCTAATAATATGGTCTAAATAATGACCATATTTAGACAGTTATCCATGACTTCATTTATGTTTTTTCAGGCTGCAGACAAATTGTTCCTTATTCTTTTTTTCTATCAAGCATCAGCTCTGACACAGAAATGTTACTTTGTGTTAAGCCAAAATTCCCCATTATAACTAAATTTGGAAATTCTAGTGAAAAGAATTCTAGTTTCTGAACTTTTCCAAATCTATTCTGATAGATTGGGAACCCACTGAAATGGGTTTTGTAGTCAGTGCTGGAAGAGTATGAGAAGCAAAGAGATGTAGCAAAACCTCTGCTCATACACCATAAGCATAATTGATTCAGATTCAAATCATAGTGACAGTATTGCCAAATGCTTATGTCTCTGATGGTAAAGTCCTTTCAAAGTCATTCTAGCAGTAACTTTACTTTCTTCTATCCACTTTATCCATTGTCTTCTGCTTCTTCTAATTCTCTCAACTTGTTGTCCATCACTGATTTCTTTTACACTTGAGTTAACTTGACTTTAATTCTCTAAAAATCAATTTTTATTTGACATAAAACTTCATTGATGGAGACTCTCCTGATTCATGATACTCTTAGCAACTGTTTCTAGATCCATAATTCAAAATAATCATTCTCTCCCATTCTCAGTGTCCAGCTTTCACAGCCAAGTGCTACCTCTGAAAATTGCAATGAAAATCCCATTATTTTAACTATCCTTATCTTTCTCCCTGAGATTGATCTTTTCTTTACATTTCCAGCAGATTTTCCTTATTTTTTTTTATATTATTGCGCCTACCTACCAATTTCACTTTTTCATCTTCAGATAAAGTTCATAAAGCATGTCAGTTGCTGTAATCTGTATCTTATTAATTTAGTTTTAAACCAGATTTCTCATGATCTGTTTTTATTTTCACAATCAGCCTCAGTCATCTTTACTTTTACTTTACTTTCAATTAACAAGACTGTGTTAACTATCTGCATATTCCAGTTAATGTTTTGAGTTCCTATTCAGATTCCAGTTGTCATCTCTTTTTGTTCTGTTTTTTATTTTTATTTTTGTTCATTGTACAGATTCCTCAGGAAAATAATATTCTGGCACACTCTTTAGCTTTAGTATATATCACCTTCTGCATGATCATTAAAGCAAAGATTAAAAAAAAAACGCCTTATATCCTCTTGCTCTCTTCATTGTCCTGCCTATCCTCTGCCATTTTAGAAATCTGGTTGTTAATTTGACATATTTCTCTCAATATATAGCTCTAAGCTTTTTTGTAAGGAATTAAGTGAAAGTTTTGTGTGGAATTAGTGCTATGATTTGGTAATTTTTACATCTCACAATGTTACATAGCTATATCTCCCAACTAATCTTCTCTATATTCTAAGCCAGATAGTGATATTTTATATTTATTGACACAGAACTGTCCAACTGCCTGTTCTCTGTGCCTTTAAAAGTATTTCATCTGTGCTTGGTGCTTTCCTATTTGACAATTGGCATACTCTACCTACCTTTTATCAGTTCCTGAATGTATTCACATTCTGCAAATGTTTCTTACATTCTAATTCTTGATGGTTAGAATTTCAAAAGAGTATTTACATTTACCTTTAATAAAATTTCCTTACTTACATTTCTTCTGTTATTCTTAAATATTCCTACCTCTGTAGATTTCCCTTTATTTTTCCAATTTTCTTAAAGAGATCTCTTCTTTTCCTTTTAATGTTATATTCTTCTATTCGTCAACACTCTTGATTGATATCTTTCTTTATTTACCCTTAATTGTTGAACATTGTGATTCAGTAATATGTCCTGTATATTGCTCAAGTTTTTCATCCTTTATGTTTTACTGGTTGTTGTAATAACTTGTTCTGAAAACCACTTGGATCTTTTTGTCTTTGGAATTTTGGGAACATATTTTTACTTTGTTTTTCATAATGTTTCTTAAATCTTAGCCCTTCAGATTCTCTTTCACTTAAATTAAGTATACTAACTTTTTCTTTGCTCTTATACGTCCTCCAGATTGATTTTGTAGGTTTAATGCATAAATTTGATGCCAAGAATTCATGGTCTGTTCCACAATCTGCATCTGGTAGTATCCTGGTTGACTGAATTGCACTTCTTATCATCTGTTTCCTATCATCGAATCAATTTGATTCCAGTGTTGTACATTTTATGATGTGATTATGCTGAGTCTGCATTTCTAGTCCTTAAAGCAGGTATTATGTTAATTTAGTTCAAATTTTCCTGTGATTCCTGTTCTTCCATTTCTCTGATTTCTATATTAAAGTCACCCCCAATTAAAAAGTATTATATCTTTTTAATACTGTTTTTAGCATCCCTTTCAATAGGCAATACAATTCCTCATTTTCTTAACTGCATATGTAGCAAGTACATTCACTAATATTCATTATATATACTCATTCTAATAGATCCTATAATTTATTGCGTTATTGTCAAGTATACATTTAGCAAATTTCTATTTGAATCATTGCCATTTTTCTTCTATATGGTCCTATGTCACAAATTATATAATTACATGATTTGAAGTTGGCTTCTCTCATACTTGCAGAGCTCATTCGATCTTACCACCATTGTGGTAATTAAGGATTACCCTTAATTTTGCCACTGCACCATTAGGCTTTGATTTTTTCCATCCTTTCAGATTCTTCAGAGTTATTCAGGAGAAAAAGTAAAGATAATTTCCTTTGTGCAATAGAGTATTAGTTTAAATAAGATTGAAATTTACCTGAAGTGATCATAGTAGCACACTTTTAGAGTGCTTTGTTTCTTTGTTTCTTACTAGCCTTGCCTCTCTTCCTTTAACTGTTCTTACAGTTTTCTTTCTTCATTTTCATCCTTCTCTCATTCATTTTTATTTTTTCCAATTTTTAACTTGTATAGGAAAATGGATAGGATTGATATTGGATTGTGCTTCAATTGTATTCTGATTTTATTATAAAAATAATATTATGCATAATACTTTACATTCTGCAAACTGTTTTCATTGCCAGTATGTTTCTGGGTTATAATGTCCTGTAAAGCCCTATGCAGCATAGGATGAGGTTATTTGAGACCACCTCTCCTAGATGCATCTATCTGTCCCAGTGGAATTGGCAAGAGAGGTTACAGGTTCCATCCATGAAAGAATGTAATCTAGTGGAACCCAGGAAGAAAGTCTTTTCTGCCATAGTCCACAACCTGCGGAACATCATCCCTGGAATTTAGATTGACCCCAACTATACTGGCCTTTAGAAGGATCTTGGAAGACATGGCTCTACCATCACACCTGGGGCCTGGCAGTGATGGAAGCTTTTACAGCAGCTGTGTTGAACTGATGTAATGTTGGATTCTGCTGCTGATTTTGTTTTTAAATGATTATTGATGGTTTTAGATGTTTCCATATTTGTTCTTTAAACTTGCCTTTGTTAGATTATTTTTTACCTGTTGTGAGCTATTCAGATTTACCTAGTTGAGATGGGTAGCCATTCAAATAATAATAACAATGGTAATAAAATACAAAAAACCTACAAAATATAAAAATTAAATATCACTTATGTTTTTATTTTTCAGAGATGTAAGTATGTATGATTGTGGTTAGTAAAAACAAAAATACAGTAAAAGCATTAATATCACTATTTATGCATAGGTGAACAGAGCCCTAACGTTTCATTGATGCAAAGAATGTCTGACATGTTGTCAAGATGGTTTGAAGAAGCAAGTGAAGTTGCACAGAGCAACAGAGGAAGAGGACAATCTCGCTCTAGAGGTAAATGCTTTTAACAGCCCTCACAGTTAAATGACGGTAATGAGTCTATTTAATCCAAAATATGCTGATATTATAAGGTTGCTATCTCAACTCAAGAGTAAGTATGTCAAGAACAAATCTTTTCTGATTAATTGTACCTAAGTTTTTGATTGGGTAACTGATTGTGGGAGTGCTATCGAAATGAAATTTTGTGACCAGCATAGCATAGCATGCTGATTAATAAGTTAATAAAATATTGGCTGAATAATCTGAAAATTGTTGACTCAAAGTTGGCTGAAAAGTAACACTTTGATTGTTCACTAATGGTTCTTCATTAAATTAAAGAGAAATTTCAGTCCTGTATGTGAAATATTATATATTTCAATAAAAAGGGAGAGAAGAACATTTACCATATTTGCAGATGATACAGATAAATTGTATTATAGAAGACAAAGAAAATTATCTTGGTAGAAATTATCGAAAAGTTACAACATCAAATTTAACAGAAACAAGTACAAAATTATTTACTTAAGAAACAAATATCAAATGCCTAAGCATAGGATGAAATTTATAAACCCTGACTTGTATTTATAAAAAAGATCTTGGAATAGTTGAGGCCAAACTCATTATGAACCAATAGTGTGAAGTGGCTATAAAACAGCAAATTGTATTTTAAAGTACATCAACAGAAGCATAATTTCCAAATCCATCCTCTCCAGTGCTGGTCGTGGTTAACTCAAATACTTTGTTCAGTTCTGGGAAATAATTTTAAGAAAGATTCAGAAAAAATGGAAGGGCTCAAAGAAGTGCAGTAGTGATTGGAGGGACTAGAAACTAAGTCCTGAAAAATGAGATTGATGATGATGAACTTTTGTAGCTTTGAAAAGATACAACAACAACAACAACAAAAAGGAAATGATACTCTTCAAATACCTGAAAAATTATAATGTAGAAGAATATCTCATTTTTTCTCATTGCAGACTACAGAACATGCAGTAATGGATTTCAGTTATCGAAAGATGTAGACTCATGTAACACTGAAATCAATCAAACAAAAACCAGACAAATATTAGAAAAAATATCCTAACAAGAAGATCAGTTTGACAATGGAAATTATTATCCAAAAATTGTGGGCTCCCCTTCATTAGAAGCGTTCAAGCAGAGGATTGACAGTATCTGAATAATTTAACTGGCATCCTGCATTGAGCAGAGATTGGACTTGATGGCTTAAATAGGCTCCTCCAAATTTAAACTTTTAAGAATCACATTTAGCACATTTAATCTACTCTGTTGAAAGTATTAATTTGCTACTGTGTTGAATAAATATAAACCAGTAATCTTTTTTTAAAAAACAAGCAGAGTTAAGTTGATGCTTTTCTTCAAAGGTGGAACAAGTAGATCAGATGTTTCTACCCCAGGAAATGTCTTGGCAGGTGCTGAAACAGAAAATTCCATGGAAGTAGATGGTCCTGAACAATTGCAGTCATCATCATCTACAGTGTCAGCTCAAGCTCCCTCAACATCTTCATCAACAGAAAGTCCTCCTTCTACTTCTTTACTCTCGTCTCCTGACAATGAACAAAGACCTTTTTTGGAGACACCTGCACCTCCTACACTCCACCAACCTGGTATGTAAAGTTTTCTTGTTAAAACAGTACATGTATTTAATCTTATAAGGAGTTTAAAATACATGTTTATTATACCAATTTTCAGTGTGGTCATGTACTTGGATGCATGACCTCCAATTATAAAATCTACTACATTAATCTTCACTCAAAATTTTATTAGTCTGACATTTGGCTATAATTTGTTACAACACAGTATATTGCTACTTTTCTTCAAAAAGATATGCCATTAAATGTTTAGCTCAATTTCTGATCCTGCCCAGAACAGTTTTTCAGCTGTGTAATGTATATTGAAGTTTGTAAGATAATTGAGTTTGTTCATTCCCAGAGTTTCATTGATAGAGCTTGTTTTAAAATTTGTTCAACTGTAGTTAGGTTACAAATATTTTTGAATTCCTAATGCTAGTATGTAAATATGAAGTAATTATTTGTTTTATAACCTAAATTAGCAATAATTAATGTGGAGATGGTTCTTAGAAAAAGAAGAAGATCTGACTCCTGAACTAAAGATAGATATACAGGAAATTGGGATAGAAATAGGCACATGGGCAGATCATAACCTTTAAAAGCAACATGATTATGATTGCTTATTTGTAACCCTGTAATCAGCTCTGGGAAATGGGGGGAGGGGTGGGAGGGATTTTGGTTATATACTGTAAAAAATTTCTAAAACTTAATAAAAAAATAATTAAAAAAAAGAAATAATAATAATAATAAAAATGGGGGAAAAAAGCGACATGGAAAGGAATTAAAAAAAAAACCAAGATGGATTTTAAATCAATCTATACTAAAAGATAAAGAATTCATAGACTTGGCCAAAAAAGAAATGGAATTCTTCTTTAAAGAAAATAAAGAAGAAGACACGTCACTACAAAACATATGGGATACAGCCAAAGCGTATTTTAGAGCCATAGCTATAATGTATATGGCAAAGAAAAACAAATAGAGAAGACAGCAATATTTATTATTAAAAGAAGAATTTAGAAAATTAGAGACAGAATTACAACAAAACCCACAGGAAAAGACTTTGAAAAGAGAAATGGAAATAATAAAACATAAGCTGAATTTGTTGGACTCAGAAAAACTGGCGGAACAAATAAAGAGAGCAAAACAAAATTTCTTCAAAAATACCATTAAGCCAGGAAAATGGCTAGCCTATAAGCTTAAAAAACAGAAAGAGAAGAAAATAATACATAACCTAGTAGATGAGAAAGGTTGTTTACAATTTAAAAAGGAAGAAATAAAAAAGATAATCAAGAAATATTATAAGGAATTGTATGGCAAAGAGGAGGCTGCAAAAGAGAGAATTGCTCAATATTTAGAAGAAAGTAAATTGCCAAAGATTCCAGAGACATTCAAAAGTATGTTAGAAGAAAGAATAACAATGATGGAGATATTAGAAGCTATAAAACGACGACAGGAATGGAAAAACACCTGGCCCAGATGGGCTACCGGCGGAACTTTATAAAAATCTACAAGATATATTAAGCGAACCGTTGAAAGATGTGAGTAATGGATTATTATTAGAGGCCAAGCTTCCAAATACATGGATAGAAGCAAATATTACTTTGATACCAAAAGAAGATTCAGACTTGATGTATATTAAGAACTATAGACCAATTTCATTACTCAATGTGGATTACAAAATTTTTACTTCAATAATGGCAGAGAGACTGAAAAGATACTTAGTTGAGTTTATACATCCAGATCAAAACGGCTTTTTACCAAAGAGAGAAATTAAAAACAATTTAAGGGTGATAATGGATGTATTAGAATATTATGAATTACACCCAGGGAAATAATTAGCATTAGTGTTTTTAGATGCCCAAAAAGCGCTTGATAATGTTTCTTGGCAATTTATGGTTCAACAATTACAAATAATGGATTTTGGAAAGAACTTTACAAATATGATAAAAACAATATATAGTAAACAGACAGCAAAAGTGATAGTGAATGGAGATTATACTGAGAGCTTTGAGATAAGAAAAGGCACGAGACAAGGATGTCCACTATCTTCATTATTATTTATCTTTACTTTGGAAGTACTAAATAGAAGGATAAGACAGGATATAGAAATTAAAGGATTAAAAATAAAATATGAAATATATAAGTTACAAGCATTTGCCGATGATCTAGTGTTTATTTTGAAAGAACTTTTAGAGATGATTCCTAAACTATGGGGAAAGATAGAAGAATATGGAGAAGTGGCAGGACTAAAAATAAATAAAGATAAAACTAAAGTAATAGTAAAGAACCTTACAGATAAACAAAAAAGGCAAATACTGGAGAAAACAGAGGTACAAATAATGAAAAAAGTTAAATATTTAGGTATTCATCTTTCAGCTAAGTGTTCGTCAATAAAAGAAGAAAATTATATAAAATTATTGAAGCAAATGAAGCTAGACTTGAAAAGATGGAAAAATCTCCAGCTGTCAATATTAGGAAGAATTGCTACAATAAAAATGAATGTGTTGCCGAAGATTTTATTTCTATTTCAAACGATTCCGATAAAACTTGAGAGAAAATTCTTTCAAGATTTAAATTCATTGGTTTTGAACTTTATTTGGCAGGGGAAAAAAGCTAGAATTAAGATGAAAACATTATAAGATGCTAAGGAAAATGGAGATTTTGGGTTACCAGAATGGACATTGTATTATCAAGCATCTGTGTTAACATGGGTGAAAGAGTGGATAAAACTCAGAAATAAAAGGTTATTGTATTTAGAGGGACATGATTTACAATTGGGGTGGCATGCTTTTTTATGGTACGGGAAAAACAGAGTCCATAAGTACTTTCAAAATCATTTTATAAGAAATGCTTTGTTAATAGTATGGGAAAAAATTAAAGCTAAAATATATTCAAAAATTCCAGGTTATCAACGATGGAGGCATTTATTCATCTGAACCTGGTAGACTTTGAAAAAACATGGATATATAAAGATATTTTAGATATGGATGGGAAATTAAAATCTAAACAAGAATTGGAAAATCAGGGAATTAATCTGTCTTGGTGGGCACATTTACAGATACAAAGTAGATATGAAAAAGATGTAAAAATGTATGGATTTTACAAGGACCAATCTGTGTTTGATAAGATTTTGTTATCCTCAGATGAGAAATTAATCAAGAAAATGTATAATTTTTTGTTAATTTTAGATATGGAAAGTGAACAAGTGAAAGAAACAATGACAAGATGGGCAAAAATTTTTGGTTATAATATACAATTAGAAAAATGGGAAATGTTATGGGAGAGAAACTATAAATTAACAATGTCAACTTCATACAAAGAAAATTTGTATAAAATGCTTTATAGATGGCACCTTCCACCAGCAAGATTAGCAAAAATGTTTAAAAATACAGTATGTCAGATAGATGTTGGAAATGTAAACATAACATAGGCATGTATTATAATATTTGGTGGACATGTGGAAAGGCAAAGGCGTATTGGAAAAATATACATATATGGTTAGAAAAAATATTGGGCGAACAAGTGGATTTTAAACCTGAACTTTTTCTACTAGGCATTATGCCTGAAAAGACTAATAAGCAGAAATTATATTTAATCTTACATATCACCACAGCAGCGAGAATAATTTTTGCATAGTACAGGAAGAATGAAGGATTGCCATCAGAAGAAGAAATAATCAGGAAATACTGGAATGTGCAGAGATGGACAGATTAACTATGAGGTTGAAAGACAAAGAAAATACAGACTACTATCAAATTTGGAATTTATTTTATTCTTGGTTAGAGAAAAGAATGAAGGATTAGGAATTGAACATGTATTAGTTTAGCAAACTCCAGACAACTTTGTTGATTGGAAAAATTAACATACTGTATGTTGATGGAAAAAAAATTAATTAATAAAAAATAAATAAATAAAAGAAAAAAAGAAAAAAAAGTTCTGTACAACTGCCTTATATACTCAACCACCTTTCACAAGAATGACTGTATATATTGAACGTAAGACACTGTTGCAGTTTCAAAAAAATCTTTCTCCAGTACAGAAGATGGAGAATCCACCAATGGGTTTTCTCTGTCTGCCTGCTCTTGAGACCAAGTAGCCAAGACCCAGTCTTAACTCTTGAAGATGTATCAGGTTTGGCTCTCAGCAGATAGCAGGTCAGAGAAAAAATCTATTGGTGAATTCTTCCTATTTAATTCAGCAAAAAACATTAAATTGTAATCATCTTAACAAATTCCCCACAAGTACTGGGCTCAGTACTAATTTCAAACGTGTTTGAGGTGTGCAGGGTGTGTGTGTGGGGGGGAAGTTTCCCTGCAGCCTTCATATTTTCTTTCCCCAGGGCTCTGGGGAAAACTCTCAGCAGGGGCTGCTAGGAGCGCATTCTTTCCCATTTCCCCCCCCTTTCTTGTCACTTGTTTCTGGCGTTAGATTCAGGCTGCAGGTCTGAATTCAAAATTCAACTCAGGCCATCGGAGGCATCCCAGGCAGCCAGAGGCAGTCGCGGATGCTATTTTGTTTGCTGTTTTAGGCAGTGGAGCTGATTTAAATTTCGTGGTTTTGCCTGCTGTTTGGGAGGCAGCCCACGAAGGTGACTTATGGTGCAGCAGTGAGTGCTGCCTCCGCGATTATCCAGGACAAGGTGCTTTGCTACTAAGGCCGCGGAGACTGTTCTCTACTGAGAACAAGTCGCGGCCGCCATTTTGAAAGCCTCGACAAGTACAAGGAGCTGGGAATGGCCTTCTTCAAGAGTTGCAGCACCTTAATTCCATCGGTGGCCTAATTATAGCCCATTTCAGTGAATTAACTCCCAAATTTGTCCTTTGTAGGGGGCAAATTGTGGGTTCACCCCTGAAGACCGCAACCCTAAAGGGGGCCCCTCCAGACCCACCAGGCCTACTCGCAATAGGAGTGGACATCTTGAATGCCATGTGGTTGTATCTAAGGCCCAACGAGGCCTAAGCATAGCAATTACACAGACCAGGCCTCATAATACATATAGTAGCCGCCAATTGAGATCGGATCCTTCCCTTCTCAGG